AAAGGCACCAGCTCGCAGTGGCGGGCGTGGCTATGGTTGACCTCAGCGCGTGGCCCAGTGGCCGCCCTGTCAGCCACATGGTATAATGCCCCACAGGATTTCCTTCTCTTTTAAGGCTGAATAATACCCCACTGTGTACATGTACCACATCTTCTTCATCTGTTCACCCATCAACAGATACTCAAGTTGTTCCCATATCTTGGCTCCTGTGAGTACTGCTGCAATGAACATGGGTGCAGAATTCTCTTCAAAATAGTGATTCTAGCCTGGCTGGCATGGCTCAGTGGTTGAGCATCAACCTATGAATCAGAAAGTCACAGTTCAATTCCAGGTCAGGGCACATGCCTAGGTTTCGGGCTCAATCCCCAGTGTGGGGCTTGCAGGAGACAATCAATTATTCTCTCTCATCATTGATGTTTCTATCTCTCTCTCCCTCTCCCTTCCTCACTGAAATCAATAAAAATATTTAAATATATATATATATATATATATATACATATATATATATATATATATTCGATTTCTTTTGGATAAATACCTAGAAGAGGGATTACTGGCTCATATGATGGTTCTATTTTTAAGTTTTTAAGGAGCCTCCATACTGTTTCTGCCCGTCTGTACTAATTTACATTCCTATGAACAGCATACAAGGTTCCCTTTTTTCCCTCATCTCTGCCAACATTTATTATCTTCTGACTTTTTGATGATAATTCTAACAGTTTTTATTTACATTTCCCTAATGACTAGTGATGTTGGTCATCTTTTCATGTACCTATTGGCCATTTGTATTTCTTCTTTGGAAAAATGTATATTCAGGTCCTTTGCCCGTTTATTTGTCTCTTTTTTTGAGTTGTATAAGTTTCTTGGAGATTATCAGATACATATAACTGGGTGTATAAGATATAAGCTTATCAGATAACTTATTTACAAATATTTTCTCCCATTCCATAGGTTGTCTTTTCACTTTGTTGATTGTTTGCTGTGCAAAGACTTTTTAGTTAGATGTAGTCCCACTTGTTTGGTTTTACTTTTGTTTGCCTGTGCTTTTGGTGTCAAATCCAAAAAAAAAAAAATCATTATCAAGGCCAATGCCAAGGATCTTTTCCCTATGCTTTCTTCTAGGAGTTATACAATTTCAGGTCTTATATTTAAGTCCTTAATCCATTTTCAGCTGATTTTTGTATATGGTTTGAAACAAAAGTTCTATTTCATTCTTTTGCATGAGGATATGCAGTTTTCCCAACACCATTTATTAAAGAGACTGTCATTTCCCCATTGTGTATTCTTGGCACCTTTGTCAAAGATTAGTTGACCTTATATGTGTGTTTATTTCTGGGCTCTCTATTCTGTTCCATTAGTCTATGTGTCTATTTTTATTCCAGTATTTTGATTACCATAGCTTTGTAATATAGTTTGAAATCAGGGAGTAAGATGCCTCCAGCTTTGTTCTTGCTCAAGATTGCTTTAGCTATTTGCAGGATTATTTTCTCTATATTTGTGAAAAATGTCATTGGAATTTTAATAGTGTTTTTGAACTCGTAGATCACTTTGGGTAGTATGGACATTTTAAAAATATTCTTCTGATCCATGAACACGGCTATCTTTTCATTTATTAATGTGTTTATATTTTCAATTTCTCTCATCAATGTTTCCTGGTTTTCAGTGTACAGATCTTTCACCTCCTTGCTTAAATTTATTCCTAAGTATTTTTTTATTTTATTTTTGATGGTATTGTGAATGAGATTTTTTTAAATTTCTTTTTCAGATACTGCATTATTAGTATCTAGAACTACAGCTGATTTTTGTACATTGAGTTTTGTATCCTGCAACTTAACTGAATTAGTTTTTTACCTTTAACAAATTTTTGGTAGGGTCCTTAGGGTTTTCTATATATAAGATCATGTCATCTGCAACTAGTCATAATTTTCCTTCTTTTTCAATTTGAATGCCTTTTATTTCTTTTTCTTGTTTGATTTTTCTGGCTAGAACTTCTGGTACTGTATTGAATAGAAGTGGCAAGAGTGGGCATCTTTGTCTTATTCCTGATCTTAAAGTAAAAGCTTTTTATCATTGAGTATGGTTTGAGGTGTGGACTTGTTGTATATGGCTTCTATTGTGTTGAGGTACATACCTTTTATACCTATTTTCTTAAGAGTTTTTTATCATGAAAGGAGAAATGCTCTTTTCTGCATCTAATGAGATGGTCATATGATTTTTATCCCTAATTCTGTTAATGGGGTTATCACATTTATTGGTTTGCAGATGTTGAAACATCCTTGCGTGCCAGGGATAAAATCCCACTTGATCATGGTACAGGATTGTTTAATATGCTGTTGAATTTTTTTGCTAATAAGTTTGGTGAGAATTTTTTTTTATCAGTGATATTGTCCTGTAATTTTCTCTTTATGCAGTGTCCTTATTTTTTGGAAGAGTTGGAAAAGAACTGGCATTAATTATTTTTGTGTGTTTTCTTTTTGTTTTTTTGTTTGTTTGTTAATCCTCACTCAAGGATATTTTTTCATTTCAGAAAGGGTAGAAGGGAGGGGGTGAGAGAAACATTGATGTGAGAGAAACACATTGATTGGTTGCTTCCCACACATGGCCCTACCAGGGCTGGGGAACCTGCAACTGAGGTACATGCCCTTGTCCTGGAATCAAACCCATGACCCTTGGGTCCAAGGGCCGACGCTCTAACCACTGAACAAAACAGGCCATGGTTGGCATTAATTCTTCTTTAAATATTTTGTAGAATTCACCAGTGAAGTCATCAGTCCTGGGCCCTTTCTTTGTTGGGGAGGGTTTTAAATTACTGATTCAATATCCTTACTCATTATTGGCCTGTCAGATTTTCTGTTTCTTCGTGATCAGTCTTGGTAAATTGTATATATTTTTAGGAATTTATTCATTTCTTATGGGTTACCCAATTGTTGGCATATAATTGTTCATAATAGTCTCTTATGACCCTTTATATTTCTATAGTATCAGTTGTAATTTCTCTATTTATTTGTTTATTTATTTATTTTTTATTTTGTTTTGTTAATCCTCACCTGAGGGTATTTTTCCCATTGATTTTTAGAGAGAGTGGAAGGGGGAAGGGCAGAGACCCAGAGAAAGAAACATTGATGTGAGACACATTGATTGGTTGCCTCCTGCACAAGCCCTGACTGGGCCAGGGATCAAGCTGCAACCGAGGTTCATGCCCTTGACTGGACTTGAACCTGCGACCCTTCAGTCTGCAGGCCAACACTCTAAGCACTGAGCCAAACTGGCTAGGGTTCTCCTCTTTTATTTTTTATTTAATTTATTTTTTATCTCTCTTTAGTCTCACTAAATATTTGTCAATTAAAAACAAACACAGGTCTCACTCTCTTACGTTGCCTGTAACATTTACACTGTCATAGACGAAGGGAAACCGGCTCCCTTGGAGATTTAAAAAAACAGGTCTCAGTTTTGTTGATTTTTTTCTACTGTTTTTCTAGCCTGTATTTTATTTATTTTCACTCTGATCTTTTTATCTCTTCAGCTAACTCTGGACTTAGTTTGTTGTTCCTTTTCTAGTTCCTTGAGGTGTTAAATTGATTGAGATTTTTTTCTTAATGTAGGCACTAAACTATTAATAACCCTCTTAGAACTGCTTTTGCTGCATTACACAAGTTTTTGGTTTCCATTTTCATTTGTTTCAAAATATTTTTTTTCCTTCCCTTTGTATTCTTCTTTGACTCATTGGTTGTTCAGGGTGTGTTGTGTAATTTCCACATACTTGTGAAGTTTCCAGTTTACTTTCTGTTATTGATTTCTAGTGTCATGCTGTTGTGGTCAGAAAAGAATCTGATATGATTTCAACCTTCTTAAATTTGTTAAGATTTGTTTTGTGACCTAACATATGATCTGTCCTGAGGAATGTTCCAGTACACATGAGGAGGCTACGGGCTGTCCAATGTGTCCATGCTGATTTTCTGTCTGGATGATCTATCTATTGTCAAAAGTGGGAACTGTATTGCTGTCCATTTCTCCCTTCAGATCTGCTAATATTTGCTTTATATACTTAGGTGCTCTTCTTTACAATGATTTAAAATTAGTGGTGAGTTTAAGCAGTATTTAGAAAACTCTTTTACAAATAAATTTGTAAATTTATTTTACAAAATTGGTCAGTATGGGTGACAAACTCACTATGAATACTGTTGTGGTTTGTTGCTTACTTTCATGCATAAGGAAATAGCAAATTCCAGTTAGAATTTGGTAACAATTTAAATTTTTCCAATAAGTTTACTATAAGCTCCTGGTAACTCCTGGTTCAAGTCCAGGGTTTTGCCCATGTCCTCTCATCCCTCAGGCTCAGTGAGGGAGATCCCATTCAGAGTCATGGCCCAGCCTCCCTTACCCTTCGAGTAGCACTTCAGTATTTAGTCATTCATCCGGCAAATATTGAGCACTGGCCCTGTGACAAGTGGTGAGATCCAAAGTCACATAAGATGAGGTCCTTGCCTTCAAGCTGTTCACCATCTCCTCAAGGAAGAGCACCATAGGTACCATTCCAAAATGCAGAATGTAGCCGAGCAGAGGACCATGCCTACCCTTCCTGGCAATCACAGCTAACACCCAGCGATGGTGAGGTTGGGGTAAACAGTCACTATGGATAGTAACACTGTCCACCACATACTCCTTCGAAAGTAAGCATGGCATTGACTCGCATGGTATTGGAAATCCCGTACCCTCCTCACTCAGCACTCTCACTCTGCGCATTTGTCCCAAAGAAATAATTTAGCAGGAAGGACACAGGGTGGAGGGCAGAGGTCCTTCCCCCTCCTCTTCCTGCACATGTGCCCTCCTCAGGGAGGGGCTGGGTCTCACTCAGCTTGTGGCTCCATGCTGGCACCGCTAGCACTCACGAAGGCCTGTTGGGTGAATGTTTGACCACCATGCAGTGAACAAGAGACAGAGCTGACAGGAAGGGCAGTCCAGGAGCCCTCCATTGACCAGGCCCCTGTTTTCTCTTCCAGCCACCAATACGCCAGGAGAGATGGACAAGCCGCTGATCAGCCGTCGCCTGGTGGACAGTGATGCCAGCCTTGCCGAGGCTGCCAGTGGGGCCCCCAAAGTGGGCATCCTGGGCACTGGGGACTTTGCCCGGTCCCTGGCCGCACGCCTGGTGCGCTCTGGTTTCAGCGTGGTGGTGGGAAGCCGCAACCCCAAACGCACGGCTGGGCTGTTCCCCGCGGCAGCACAAGTGGTGTTCCAGGTGGAGGCGGTGGACTCCTCTGAGGTCATCTTTGTGGCCGTGTTCCGGGAACACTACTCCTCGCTGTGTGGGCTCAGTAGCCAGCTAGCCGGCAAGATCTTGGTGGACGTGAGCAACCCCACAGAGCAGGAGCACCTTCAGCACCGCGAGTCCAATGCTGAGTACCTGGCCGCCCTCTTCCCCACCTGCACAGTGGTCAAGGCCTTCAACGTCATCTCTGCCTGGACCCTGCAGGCTGGCCCAAGGGATGGGAACAGGCAGGTAGGTGCGGGGGTGCAGGGGGGGGGGGGGGGGGGGGGAGGGGGAGGGGAGGGAGGAGGGGAGGGAGATAACAACCATCATGACAATAAATATAATGGCTAGCTTTCCTGGGGGGCCCTCAGCACACCAGGCTCTTTGTGCTCATTGTCTCAGCTCATCTCACATCACTGTGCAGTTCCATTTCACAGACAGGAAACAGGTTCAGAGATATTGATGAATTTACACCAGGCCCCACCGTTGGCGAGCTGGGATTTGAACCCATTCCCTGAGAATCTGAAATTCATATTCTTTTTCTATGGTAACTTGCTTACCTAGGGAGCAAGGAGGAAAAGGTTGATGGCTTGCCTTTTGTATTTTTTTATTTTTTAAATAATTCTTTATTATTGAAAGTATTACATATGCCCTCCTACCCCCACCACCACCATTGACCCCTCCAGCCGATGCCTTTTTTTATGTCTAGAGCAACCGTGGGCAAACTATGGCCCGCAGGCCGGCCCGTTTGAAATGAATAAAACTATTGAAATAAAAGACCATACCCTTTTATGTAATGATGTTTACTTTGAATTTATATTAGTTCACACAAACACTCCATCCATGCTTTTGTTCCGGCCCTCCGGTCCAGTTTAAGAACCCATTGTGGCCCTCGAGTCAAAAAGTTTGCCCACCCCTGGTTTAGAGTCAAGAAGGGAAGAAACTTTGCTTTTAGAATTGGACTCAGAAGAAGGAAAGGAACACACTCATGTGCCAAGCCCTGAGGAAGTGTGTATGTCCCCTAGTTTCACCCATTTATTCAGAGGGCTTCCCGGAACTGAGCGGATTTCTCAAAATAGTCACTAACAGGCTTTTCTGAGGGTGGAAAATGGCTCCGGAGAACGGCCCGAGCTGCGCACAGTTCTTGGCAGGAGGAGCTCTTACCAAGACCAGGTAGTGTTTAATACCAAGAGGCCGAGCATTTTCCTGGAGGAAGGGGCCAGGACCCACATATGTGTGAGAACTCCCGCCACTGAGTTCAGGCCAGATGCCGCTGCACAGCTGCATGCCAGGCTGGGGAGAGCAGCTTGCCTCCTAGGGCTCCCACGTGTGGACAGGCCAGGAACGGGGGGGTGAGTGGGGGTGGCGGGGCTTGGAGGAAATAGAGCTAGCGGCTGGCTGGGGGAGCCTTTGAGGTCGGCCTGGGCCTTCGCCTTGGCCTTGCCCACATCATGTTGTTGTGCATAGTGAGCAGCAGGGCGTTTCGGGCTGAGGAGGCACCTGCAGAGTCAGAGACCTCAGTTTCCTCACCTGAAAAATGGGGACACAGGTGCCGGGCAGGGGTAAAGCCCGGTACACAGTATGTGCTGAGTCAGTGTTGGTAGAACACGCTGACCACAGCAGTGTCATAAGGCCCATGGAGGGTTTAGGGACAGAACCAGGGTGCGTGCATGTGAGCTCATGCTGGGGAGCCATGAACAGGCTGGAGTGTGTTGGCTGAGGGCCCTGGGGGCCGAGGAACAGGATCAAAAGGGACACTCTGGACTGAGGGGTAGAGCTGCACTCCCAGCTACATGTAGAGCCCAATTGCCAAGTGCACTCGAGAGCACAGTCCTCGATGCAGCTATTCCCACGTGAGTACTGTGCTGTGGATGCTGATGGTAATGACTGGGCGACACGTTCACTGCTGGGTGGGCCCGGTGCTCCCCTGAGTAGTGGGCATTGCTGGGCCAGAGTCTGGGAGGCCACAAGGGGGCGAGGGAAGACCCTGGGCCTGAGTGTCAGAGCCACCTCTGTGCCCAGCTATACTGTTAACTGGCACCACTGGGCCTCAGTTTTCCAGCTGCCCAGTGGGGAGTTTGGCCCTGATGCTCTCTGAGGCTCTGCCCACCCCAGTGGCCTGTGACCCGGTCTGATTCCCCTTCGCCTCCCTCCACAGGTGCCCATCTGTAGTGACCAGCCAGAAGCCAAGCGCATCATCTCAGAGCTGGCGCACGCCATGGGCTTCATGCCCGTGGACATGGGGTCCCTGGCCGCGGCCCGGGAGGTGGAGGCCAGGCCTCTGCACCTCCTCCCAAGCTGGAAGGTGCCTGCCATCCTGGCCCTGGGGCTCTTCATCTTCTTCTACGCCTACAACTTCATCCGGGATGTGCTGCAGCCCTACGTGCAGGAGGGCAAGAGCAAGTTCTACAAGCTCCCCCTGTCCGTGGTCAACACGTCGCTGCCGTGCGTGGCCTACGTGCTGCTGTCGCTGGTCTACCTGCCTGGCATCCTGGCGGCCGCCCTGCAGCTGTGGCGCGGCACCAAGTACCGCCGCTTCCCCGACTGGCTGGACCACTGGCTGCAGCACCGCAAGCAGATCGGCCTGCTCAGCTTCTTCTGCGCCGCCCTGCACGCCCTCTACAGCGTCTGCCTGCCCGTGCGCATCTCCTACCGCTATGACCTCGTCAACCTCGCCATCAAGCAGGTACAGTCCTTGTCACCAAGGCCAGCCGTGCCGGTGGGTGTGACCCGCCAGTCACGGTGAGCAGCAGGGCATCCCGGGCTGAGGAGACAACCTGCAAAGGCTCAGGCCTCAGTTTCCTCACCTGACAAATGGGGACAGTGGCACCTATCCATAGGCCTGTGCAGGGCTGAGGGGTCGCGGGGGGGAAGCCCGGTACACAGTACGTGCCGGGTCAGTGTGCCTCTCATCTTCTGTGGATTCGGCCCTGACCCGGCAGAGCCCACATCCTGCTGTCCAAGATGTTGAGTATCCGTGAACCAACTATGAAAATCTCTGTGCTCATGGGCACAGCCCGGCAGGGGGACTTAGCCACATCCTGCAGTAAGTTACAGAGGACTTTTAGGAGGTCTGAGAGCTAAGGAGAAAAATTAAGCAGGGGCCAGCGATGGGGTACAGTTGTAACAGGTGGTCAGGAGGCCTTGCTGAGGGGGAGGCGGAGGAGAAGCAGGGAGCAGCCAGAGCAGAGGCCCTGGGGGGGGAAGGGGGGTTGCCTGGCACATGTGAGGAGCAGCCAGGGGGCCCCTTGTGGCTGGACCCGGGGGAGGGGGTGGTGGGTGAGGCCTGACGGGTTGGAGCCAGACCAGGGAAGCCCGCGAGGCTGAGGGAGCCAGCGAAGGCTTTTAGTAGAGGAGTGAGGATCCAGCTGATGTTGCCACTGGCTCACTCTGGCTGTTGGTGCAGAATAGACAACAGGGGGTGGGAGGCAGATGCTGAGAGAGCAGGCAGGGGCTGTGCGGGAGCCCACTGAGAGGCAGGGAAGGTTTGAGGGGCGGGCAGTGGAGGGGCAGGACGGCACTGAGGCGGGTACACAGACTTGTGATGGACAGGGGGTGGTCAAGGTAACTCCGAGCTTCGGCCTGAGCACCTGGAGGAACGGTGATGCCATCAGCTGAGGGGAGGAAGGCTGCAGGAGCAAGATATTCTTTTTCATGGGGGCGGGGGGAGTGTTCAGTCACTTAAGGAACCCATACACTGCTCTCTTGCCAGCAGGATTCCTGTGAAATGGGGCCTTCATGCCAAGGCAGGTAGCAACACAGGTGCACCAGCTGGCACCTGGACCCACAGAAGCAGGCCCCCTGAGCTGTCTCCTGGCTGACAAGCTCATGGGGCACAAGCTCAGGTCTGCAAGAGACACAGTCTTTCTGTAGGTTCCCCAACCTCCCTGATTCCACCTCCTGCCCTCTGGACTGGTGTATGGGTTCACAGGCAGTCACCCAGCAGGCTCTGGCCCTGGTGCCAGTGAGACACTGCTTGTCCATCCCTCTTTCCAGCCCTGATGGTCCCTGCAGTTTCTGTTCCAGCCTAGGGGGGTGCAGGGATTGTGGTGGGGCCGCACCCTCCCCAGGTGCACCCGCCGTCCCCTCAGTGGCTGAGCCACATCCCAGAACAGGACCGGGAGTCAAGGCTGGGTCACTGTCTGTGAACCACAGACCTCAGCCCCTGCTCATTCTCAGCCTCCCTGCTGGCAGCTTCTCCAATGCCCTCGCCCTTCCCACCCTCGGACTCCTGGCATCACGCATCTGTGGGCTTGGCCTTTCATAGGAGAAGCGGACACCACGCTTGAGGCAGGGAAGCAAGATGCCTGCTGGAAATGAGGGGAAGGGGAAACTATAGTCACAAACCTTTAAAAAGAGCTTGCTGCTTTCCAGGTGCTAGTGTAAAGGCCTCACACCCTCAGTGTGAATTCATTTAACCCTTCTCCCACCCGTATAAGCCAGTGTGCTGTACTACCTTTATGTTGCATATGAGCCACAGAGAAGTTAAGTAACTTGACCAAAGTCACACAGCCAATAAGTGGCAGAACTGGGATTCAGATCCAGCCGCCCCCTGATCCATGCTCATAACCAGACCGCTTTCTGCAGGGGAGGCAAGTCCAGATGAAGAGTTGAGTCGATGAACTCAGGTCATTATCTCATTCATTCCTGAGCACCTTCTCTCCAGGTCCTGGGGTCACAGAAGGGAATGAGACTAGATAGCATGGTCCCTTCCCTCGGCTGGGGGGGGGGGGGGGGGGGGGGGGGACCGGCAGGCTCTGAAGGCCAGAGCCCCTCTTTTGTCCTAGGGCCCTGATGTGGATGTAGATCAAGGCCTCTCCTAGTGCTAACGTTTTTGATTCTTTGATGATATTTTCTCCTAAAAAGGGCGGCTCTGCGCAGCTCCTCTGGGACTGGCACCGTGTTTGCTGCCCAGGAGGTGGCAGATCTGAGTGGCAGGCATTTCAGGCAGTGGGTGGGGATGAAGGTAATGCTCCTCCCCCGGGCCCAAGGCAAAGCCCAGCCCCGCCCACACACAGCCTCCCTAAGTTCTCCCCCTGCCAAGGTTCTCCTGACAGGATGCCCACCCGTGTTGCCAAGATGCAAATAGTAGGGCACAGCGGGCACATGCCAAGCAGCTTCCCTGAGTTCCAAAGCCCTTAGGGCTGGAGGCCCTGGTGGAGGTTGCCAGGCAACCATCACTCCCAGAGGACTGGATCACTCTCCGAGTAGGAGTAGTGCAGGCCTGTCACACAAAGGGGCTTAACCTTGGCCTGCAGAGCTCTGGAGGGCAGAGCAGGGGTGATGTCAGGGAGGGGGTAGAGGAAGGCGGGGCTAACAGAGCAGAGCTGCCCAGTGGTGAGCCGCCTGGCCCGGAGGTGCTCTAGCAGATGCTGAGTCTGCAGGTCAGCCTTGTTCTCAGGCGCTGAGACGGGACATCGAGGCTGTTCTGCAGTCAGCCGGTCACAGCAGGGCCTCCGGGTGCCTGGTGCGTGGCTTTCCCATCCTGCCCTGGGGCCTCCCCTCAGGGCCTCCAGGTGGGTGCACATTCACCATCCCGGCTGCCCTGTGGGCCTTTGCGGGAAGGGATCGCACTAGCCAGGGTACTGGAGGCAAGGTTTCCACCACGCCCCTGAGGCCACAAACTTGGAAGCAGAGCTGCATTCCGCCTGCAGAGAAAACCTCTGACCATGTTTGTTGACTGTATTTCTATGAACAATAACTGATATTTGCACAGTGACTTCTAGGGTGCTGTGTGGTTCCCTAGAAATGCATTTCAAGATCAGGATCAAAGAAAGTGTTTAACCAACAGTTTTCTTCTCGCCCTCGCCCCGGATCTAATCTTGGCTGCCAGGGAGAACTGTCTAAAACTCACATTTGACCATGCCACTGCTGAAGAGCGCTCAGCGACACCCCACCGCCCTGGGGTAGTGACAGACTGTTCAGCTTGCAGCCTCCTCACCCAGCCGCGTCTCCCCACTGCTCCCGTGACCCGTCCCACTAGGTCCCACACTGTCCTGTGAATGGGCACAGCGCATTCCTCTGGGCCTGGGCTCCGCACCTGGAGACAGCTTGACAGCCTGACAAGCTCCTGCTCATCCTTCACAACCCTCCTGCTGTCCCGCTCCCAGCCCATCTCCCCCATTCTCCATGCTCACCTCCATCAAATGCATGCTGTGCACACTTCTGTGATGTTTCTCATGCAACACTGTGCTCACTCATTTGCACGTCTGTCTTCCTCCATGACCGGGCCTTCGCTGCTGGAGGCCCATGTGTGTGACACAGACTCCCACCACATGCTCACTGAGTGGCTGATGGTTAACGGGCCACGCAAAGCCAACACCAGGTGTCTCTTAAGAGGAGCCCCTGTGGAACTTGGAGCAAGAGCCAGCCCACCTGCCCGGTTCTCAGTGGGACAACAGCACCGGCCACTGACACCAACCACCTGCTGCGTGCCAGTCGCCTGTGACCTGTGCCACAAACACCCTCCTCTTCGTCCTGGCGATAGCGCAGTAAGAAAGAGACAGCGCTGCCGTTAGCCAGGGCCCCCAGGCTGCCCCAGGCAGAGTTGGCATGGAATCCAGCCCTGGGACTGTGAAGCCATCCCCCACCACCCAGGCTGCCCTTCCACATCCAGCCTCCCCCTCCTCCGGGCCCGGCACCACTCTCATCCCATCCATCAGCCACCTGGGGACACCGAGAGGGGCTGGTGCTGCAGCCCGCTGGTCCTCCTGGCCCTGCAACCTACAGGGGAGGGAAATCCCACACGACTGCCGCCACCATGGCATCTTTTGTTGATGAACAACTCTCATCAGTCTCCAGGTGGCCGCATTGATGAGCTCTAGGGCAGTGGTTCTCAACCTTGGCTGCACATTAGAATCACCTGGGAATCTTTTTTTAAAATCCTGATTTCTGGGCCTCATCCTCCGGAAATTCTGTTTCTTTGTTATGGGGCGAGGCCACATTAGTAACAAAGAAACAGAATTTCCGGAGGGTGAGGCCCAGAAATCAGGATTTTAAAAAGACTCCCAGGTGATTCTAATGTGCAGCCAAGGTTGAGAACCACTGCTCTAGAGGGAGAACTACCAGGGGGAGTGGAGAGCTGTCAGCTGTGTTCCAGCGTGTGTGGCGCTGGTCACTGGGAGCCCCGACTCCAGCTCTGGGGTTCAGTAGGTTGGGCGAGACTCACCAGCTATGGAAGGGAGCTGGATCCAGATCCTCACGCAGGCTCCACACCACCCACTGCTCCCTCGTGACCCCCTCCGCCCTCCCCAGCACCCCTGCAGACTGGAAGTATTACAGGGAAAAACAAGACATTTTGCAAGCAACTGTGGGGTGTGTGTAATCATCCAAACTCCGACTGGAGACATGAGCTGCCTGATCTGAGCGCCATGCACATGCAGTGACTAAGGAAGCAGACTCTGCACAACCTGCACCTACAGGACTTCGCGGTGGTTAGGCAGGAGGGTGTGATAAGACTTCTCTGGGCTCAGTTACGCAGATGCCGTCTGCCCTCGGTGCTGATGTCAGCCACCTTTCCAGCTAGTCCACTAGCAGCAGTCCCAGGGTTTTAGACGTGACCTCACCAACGCTCTCAGGTGGACGAAGGAAGCCCAGGGTCACACATGACTTGTCAGGACGAGAAGCTGGGTCCCCAGACTCCTGGTTCTTTTGAGGCTTAAAGACACCAGAGTGGGCCAGCCTGCCCTTAAATTAGAACAGACGCAACCATTCTCTCAAATTGCAGGATAAGTACCCAATGGATGGCATTTTCTCCATTTTTTTATACTTTCATAAGCTACTCAAGCATTCTGCTCAGCCCACTAGATTACTTTTTAATGTTATATCTGGTTACTGGGCTTGGGTTTTTTTTGTTTTTTTTCCTGCTGAAATACTTTCTCAAAAGCCTGTGTGAGTCACTGTGTTGTGCGAAGCAGAGGCCTGGCTGCTGGCGCGCTGTCACGGTTCCTAATGGGAAGACTTCCTCCCAGGCTGGATAAAGCCCCAGTGCGTCACGGTGTTTCTCAGAGAACACCTCGGCTTCCAGGACTCCGCCACCTGCGCTCTGTGGCAAATGGCACTTCTAATGGAATGACCTTGATAAAAGCTCCTATTGTGTGTGCACTGTGTGCCTGAGTGTCGGCCGGGCTGGGAGGAGGCTCAGCTAAAGACATGCTGGGTGGGGAGGAGGGTAGAAACCTCCAGGCCCACGGGGACCCCCGATTTGTGTGTCCCTGGAGCTCAGGGGAATCCCAGAGCTCTGTGAGGACAGGTTTCCGGGCGCTCTGCAGCCCAGGCATGATACACAGTAGGTGCTTTATAAGTGCTTGCTAGGGTGCTTGGTGAGTGTGTCAGTCCCTGTGGCCTGGCAGTGGTAAGCCAAAGCCACATGCCTCCGACAGAAATGGGGGTCTGGGTGGGAAGGTGGGAGTTGGGGCGCTAGTGTCTGGGTGTCTCTGTGTGCCCTGAGTATGAGGCAGTGACAGGGCAGGTTGGGGGACCAGGAAGGCAAAGAGTCAGAGAGCAAGCAGGTGGCAGAAACAGGGGCCCACCTGGCTGATGGGATTCCAAGCTAGGAGAGTTCCTCCCTCATTTGGGGGACTTGGTGGCATGGTCATGTGCACAGGGTCTGCTTGTCTGCTGACTTCTCTGACTCTCGCCGGCTCATGTGACCGTCGGGCTGGCTGGCCCAGGCAGATCTGTGAGAGCCCCAGGGAGGGAGCCCAGGTCTTCGGGGCCAGGCTGCCTGGGTCCCGTCCCAGCTGGTGTGACTGTAGGGAAGGAACTTCATCTCTTTGCCTCGTCTCCCTGTTCTGTACGACAGGGAGAAGGAGACCTCGGCCTCGTGGGTGGCTGTGAGACTTAGATGGCCTGACACCTGAAAGCGCTTAGAGCAGAGCCAGGCCTGTGTTGCGTGCGGCTGGCCGTTACTCCGTGTCTGGCATCTGAAGGTACCGCTCGCCGCACCCCAGGGCACGGTGTTCACGTTCTCCTTCCATCCCCATCAGGTCTTGACCAACAAGAGTCACCTCTGGGTTGAAGAGAATGTCTGGCGGATGGAGATCTACCTCTCCCTGGGAGTGCTGGCCCTCGGCACGTTGTCCCTGCTGGCTGTCACCTCCCTGCCGTCCATCGCAAACTCGCTGAACTGGAGGGAGTTCAGCTTCGTTCAGGTAAAGCAGGGCTGCCGTGGCAGTGAGCCTCAGCTCGGCCTCCCCGCCTGGCGTGTGCCAGCACCTCCCCCTTTGCACACGGCCTCGGTTGTGATAATCTACACAGCAGGACTGCTCAGTCAGGCGCCAGGGCTTCTGGGCCCGGCCCAGTGCCCGATAAAGGGCTGCCTGGGACCAGCTCATTCTCCTGGCATCTGGGGAAGCAGATATAAGCGTGTGAGAAGAGTAGACAACAGACCACTGAGCCCTGGATTAAGCAGGGTCAGTTTCACAATTCTTGAGCTTCCCAAACCAAACCTCATGATGTGCAGTCACTGGACATCACTGGCGGGGGGTCAGTGGGCCAGAGAGTGAGCCTAGCTGACCACCCAGCACCTCCTCTCAACCCAGCCCTGTGGGTCCTGTAACCCTGGAGGTGAGCATTGGGAGGGGAGCATTGGGAGGCAAGCATTGGGAGGGGAGCACTGGGAGGTGAGCATTGGGAGGGGAGCATTGGGAGGTGAGCACTGGGAGGATCGCCCGTTTATAGCAGATGTAACACAGCATCTCCCAAAGGACCCCATTCCCGTGAGAAACCCAGAGAAAAGGAGGTCTGGAGTCAAATGAATCTGAGAAAAGGTTTGCTGCCCCCCAAGAGAGACACAGTGCACTTTGGCACACTGGAGATTCTAATAATGTCTACAACACAAACCTTGATAACCAGACTTCTTTTTTTAATGTATTTTTATTTATTTCAGAGAGGAATGGAGAGGGAGAGAGAGATAGAAACATCAACGATGAGAGAGAATCATTGATCAGCTGCCTCCTGCACACCCCCTACTGGGGATGGAGCCCGCAACTCAGGCATGTGCTCTGACCAGGAACGGAACCCAGGATGCTTTCATCTGCAGGCCGACGCTCCATCCACTGAGCCCAACCGGCCAGGGCAATAACCAGACTTCTTTGAGCACTGTCTGCACTCCACAGAATACACTTGAGAAATGCTGCTCGTGACGAAAGGTCCTTTATGCATTTATTCATTCAATAACTATGTATTGAGCACTTACTGCATGCCAGCCATCGGGCGAGGTCTGGGTGTGACAAGGAACAAGACAGGCATGGCCACGTTTCAATGATAAGGACATCTGAGACGGACTTTTTCCACATGGTTGGCATCTGCCACTGTTCCCCAGGCAGAACGCGTGGCAAGCTCCCGGCGTTGGTGGGTTAACTCTCCCCTCCCACACAAGGAGCTGAGGAGGACTGGATTCCGCCCCCGCTATGGTGGCAGGCCCAGGGCAGCTATCGTATCCACCCCCACTGTCAACGAAAACCTGTTGCAATCTTCTCTCTGCAGTGAGGACAGAGTACGGGATTCGAAGAGGGACACCGACAGTGCAGGGCTCCATGTAACCCGTTCATCGCCCCTGACTGGGACCACTTACACAGCTCAGAGTCAGCCAGCGCTGTGGCGGTTTCTTTTTAAGTGAGTCAGTTTCTGAGTCTCACTGGCTCTGCTCATCTCAGCAGGCCCCTGAGGAATGCTCAGGGCTGACACATGCCGGCATTAGAGGGGAAAAAGAATTTCATTTATTGGCCACTAATCCTCCTGTGTCGCACACCCAAAGCTAGGATTTTCCTGTTCCTGCCCGAGTATCCCGGGGAGCCTGGTTTATCCACAATTAAAACAGACTGCAGTTGCTTCTCTCACCAGAAAGTTGCTCCCTTAAGCAGCCGCAGATTACAAGCCGGCCACCAGCTGCCCAGGAAAGCCGGAGGATTTGGATTTGTTAACCAAACTGACTGGGGCCTCAGCAGCCACACTCCGCTTTACATATTGAAGAGTCGAAAAGACAAATATGAAAGTCCCCCTGCCACTGCAGGAGCAGCGGGATTGGCGGGCGGGAGGTGGGGAGAGAGGCAGGGCTTTACTTGTGGAGATCAGTTGCCTGCATTCTGTCCAGAGAAGCAAATGCCCTGTCTCCCCCAGGAGTGCTGACAGGAGGGGGAGCTGTGAGTGCCCTGGAGCCCGGCCCTGGCTGTCACCGGGCACAGAGCACATCCTCCCAAGCCTCTTGTAAAATGGAGCTAGTGCGCTACAAGGATGCTCTGAGCCACTGTGAGGGGTTATGTGTGAAAGAGAAAAAGCATTTTGCTATTATTCTTACAGTATGCAGCCGCATTTCCATTATCCCCGACTAAGCTACCAATCAGTAGGAGGCGGTGAGAGAGGTCAAGAAACTCCGGCCCTGGGCAGGAGAAGGTCCAGGTCACCGTTTGCAAACTGTGATTGATACTTATTGGTGGTCATAAAATCAATTTGTGGCTCGCAGCCAGCCTTTTAAAAACATGAAATAGAGTAGAATGGGGAAGAAAGCATCAGAGGGCTTTGCATGTTGCAGTTTTTAAGTTGCGATGATTCAGTAGTTCCATATACACGTGTCATGCCTGGTTGTGTACTGGGCAATGATGTGTGATTCTGACTGTGAGCCACCATCAAAAACCTTGGAAGTCACAGTGCTCTCTCTTCGAGAACTACGCAGGCTCCTCCCTGACCTCTGAGCACAGATGCCTGGGGGTGGCTTGGGTGGCTCTGGCAGTTGGTTTCTTCTGGCTCCTGGGTGCCTCTTAGGTGTGCATGATACAGTCCCTCTGAGGGAGGGGACACAGGTTGGAGCCGGCAGACCTGAGTTTCAGTCCTTCGACCACCACTGTCTGCCCCGGTACCATTAGACAGTGTTTTAGCCTCTCAGAGCATCTGTGTCCTCACTTATGTCTGTGTCCACGTCCTCTGGCCATTGGCAGTATTTGAGTTGAGGACAGGGAGAGTGCATGAGTGGGAGACATGTAAAAGTCCCAAGGCCAGCGGTGGCTGCCTGATTGCTGAGGCAAGCTGCCGTCTTCTGTAAAGTTAGCATGGCCAGTGAGGAGCAAGCTGACCCCAATGCCTTCCCCTGCTACACACGACCCAGCAGGCCACCGGGCTTACCAGCTGGCTGTGGAGACGCCATGGCTCTCCTGGGCCCGGCTGACCCCTGGGTCCTGACTGATTTATTTAGCCAGAAGCTTTCAAAACAGTGCGTCGGTTCCACAGAGGTGACTTGTGTGCATGTGTCCTTTTGTTCCCGAGGCCCTCTTCAAAGTATTAAATTGGATTTTCGTTTGTTTGGGTGGTGGTGGTGGAATTGTTTTAATTTGGTTTGGGCTGTGCTAACTGCTCCTAATTAAGCCAGTTAAACATCATTAGATCGCAGGAGAGGGCCCAGGATGGCAGAGTAGGTGGATGCTGCACTCACCTCCTCCCATGACCACATCAAAATTGCAACTAAATTACAGAGCAATCAACCTGGAGAACCATCTGAAGACTAGCTGAACAGAAGTCATATACCTAAGGATATAAAAAAGCCACGTCAAGGAGGGGCAGAGACACAAAACGGCTGGCCCCACACCCACGTGTGGCAGAGGCGCCCCCCCCCCCCGAGGAGTGAGGGGTGTCAGCCTCATGCTGGGCCCTCGAAGAGGCTGCAGAACCAACACACCCACTGGCTGGCCTCAGACCACAACAGAGTACCACTCAATTGATCCGCAAGTAGCACACCCAAAGGGAGGACTAAGCAGGTACCAGACCCTGCTGGGGCGAATTCCATTTCATGGGGTCTCCACACAGTAGCTCATACACTGTGGTGGGGTCAGCCCCACTCATAGACATGCTAGCAGCAACAAGGCTGAACTACAACCGGAGGGCCCACATAACCCACACAAGGGACACTCCTGGAGAGCCTGGCTCAGAGAATCAGGAAACTGCCACTGGGCCCCACAGGACAACTACTAGATCCTGCCACCATGCCAATACTGAAGCAGATCTGTCAAATACATAGAAAAGACACAGAGAGGCAGCCAAATGAGGAGACAAAGAAACATGGCCCAAATGAAAGATGAAGATAAAACGCCAGAAAAAATAACTAAGCAAAATGGAGGCAAGCAATCTACCAGATGCAGAATTCAAATCACAGGTTACAAGGACGCTGAAGGAACTTAGCAAGAACTTCAACAAGGAGCTAGAAAGCATGGAAAAGGACATAGAACCCATAAAAAGGAATCTGTCAAAAATGAAGGATATAATAACTGAAATGAAGAATACACTAGAAGGAATTAACAGCAAATTAGGTGAAGCAGAGGATAGAATCAGCAATTTGGAAGACAAAGTAACAGAAAACACCCAATCAAAACAGAAAAAAGAAAAGGAATTTTAAAAATGAGGATTGCCCTAACCGGTTTGGCTCAGTGGATAGAGCGTCGGCCTGCAGACTGAAGGATCCCAGGTTCGATTCCAGTCAAGGGCATGTACCTTGGTTGCAGGCACATCCCCAGTAGGGGGTGTGCAGGAGGCAGCTGATCGATGTTTCTCTCTCATCGATGTTTCTAACTCTCTATCTCTCTCTCTTCCTCTCTGTAAAAAATCAATTAAATATATTTTTTAAAAAAAATGAGGATTCTTTAAGGGACTCCTGGAACAACATAAAGCCTAACAACATCTGCATCATTGTGGTACCAGAAGAGAAGAAAGAGAGCAAGGGATTGAGCACCTATTAAAAGAAATAAGAAATTAATATTACCCTAACCTGGTGAAAGAATTAGACACGCAAGTCCAGGAAGCACAGAGAGCCCCAAGAAAGATGAACCCAAAGAGGCCCACACTAAGACATATCATAATTAAAATGCTAAAGGTTAAAGACAAAGTGAGAATCTTAAAAGCAGCAAGGGAGCCACACCAGCTGGGTGGTGAAGGGATTTAGAAGTACAAATTAGTAGTTACAGAATGGTCACAGGGATGGAAAGTGTAGCAGAGGGAATGTGGTCAATAATATTCTAATATATGTATGGTGTCAGATGGGTACTGGTTTTATCTGGGTGATCGCTTAGTGGGTTGTATGATGTCTAATCACTGGCTTGTACATCCGAAGCTAATATTGTATGGCAACTGTAATTGAAAAATACACAATTATTTAAAGTCAAAAAATAAATTAAAAAGTCCTCTGGTAGCCACCAAAGGTATGAATAACAGTTACTTTATTGAATCCTTATGAATCAGTCAGTCCTTATATACCTTCAGGATAGAGGTATTATTCCTGTTTTTCTGCTGGGGAAACTGAGGCTCAGAGAGTTTAGGTCAGTGATGGCGAACCTATGACATGTGTGTCAGAGGTGACACATGAACTCATATTTCGGTTGAACTCATATTTTCAAAAATATAAGTCTTTGTTTTACTGTGGTTGCAAATATCAAAAAATTTCTATATGTGACACAGCACCAGAGTTAAGTTAGGGTTTTTCAAATGCTGACACGCCGAGCTCAAAAGGTTCGCCATCACTGGTTTAGGTAGTGGTAAGATCACATAGAGAGCAAGTGATAAGGCTGGGATTTGAACCCAGAGCCTTGACTGCTAAAGCCACACTCCTTCCTTCCCCTCTGCCGGGCAGGGCAAGCAGGGGGCCATTGGTGGACTCACAGTGCCCGCCAGCCCCTGGCCCTCACCCAGCCTTCTCTCTTCCGCAGTCCAATCTGGGCTTCGTGGCCCTGGTGCTGAGCACCCTGCACACGCTCACCTACGGCTGGACCCGCGCCTTCGAGGAAAGCCGCTACAAGTTCTACCTGCCTCCCACCTTCACGCTCACCCTGCTGGTGCCCTGCGTCGTCATCCTGGCCAAAGCCCTGCTCCTCCTGCCCTGCTTGAGCCGCCGACTCTCCCGGATCCGGAGGGGCTGGGAGAAGGACAGCGCCGTCAAGTTCACGCTGCCCGGGGACCACGCCCTGGGCCAGAAGACGAGCCACTTGTGAGGACTTGCAGCCAGCTCTGACACCAGCCCCGGCAGGACAGCGCCTGCGCCTGTCAGGGCTGCTTTCTTGCTATGGCGTAACTGTGCACAAACCGGTGTTTGAAGCTCAAATTCCTGGGACGCAAATGTATTTAGTAATATTCAGAATGACACACACGCGTGTGCGATACATAGGTTCATATATATGTCATATATATAACAGGATTTGCAATTATACTCACTAGCTAAAACGTTCAGGCCCTGAGAGTTCAACCTGCAGATCTAAAAGCAAGCGCCAGGTTGGAGAGCAGCGGCTCGCGCTGGCATTGGCGGAGATGCACACACTCAGCCCAGGAAAGCCATGCGGGGCTGGTCCCTGGTGGACTCGGCCCATTTGTGCCTCGCACCGCCCTTGGCTGCTTTCCCAAGGCGTTTGCAGAGCTGGGCTCTCAGGTGGCAGGGCAGACAGGGTCGGGGTGGGGGATCCTGGTGTCTGTGCCCTGGGACCCAGTTGAGGCCCTTCCTTTGCCAGGTGGGGAAGGGGAAGGAGGGTGGTTGGGCTGAATGGCTCCCCCTACTCTGCCCTGAGCTGGGAGATTTCCCCTCACAGCCAGGAGTCACCACCGCTGCAGATGGACCCTCCTGTGGGCGTGGGAAGGCACCTCCTCCCGGAGGCCTAATGGGCCCATCTTGAGAACAAGTGAAATTTCTTTCCTCCTTAAAGCTGGTGATGACCGGTCCTGGGACCGCTGTGCCTTCTCCCTTTAGATCCTTAGCTTGAGTGTCTGCAGGAAGCCTGGGACAGGCCCCAACACACACACACACACACACACACCCTAAGCCAGGGTCTGCAGGGCTGTGTGTCTTCATGGAATTGGTCCTGTGGGAAACACAGTGTCTCTTCCAATGCCCTCTGCTGCCCCCGGGCACAGAGCCTGCCTCTGAGTGAGCACCCAGAAAGTGCCAAGTTCCTCTTAAAGGAGGGGTACATTTCAAAACAGCTGAGGCGTTTTTTCCACCAAAGCTACAAACTTGAAATTTGCTGCCACAAAGCATAAGAGGCTGGACCACAGCCAGGGCCACAGGACATGTGCCCTTGAGTCATATGCCATCCCTGCCTGATTCACCCTGAAACTGTGTTTACTTCCCCTGTGAATGGTCAGTTCTCCCCTGAGGCCCCACCCCCTCACCCCCCCTCCCCCGCCCCCAGCTCCTGGCAGAGCCAAGGTGTCTGTCATTTCCACACAAAACCCTTGGACACAGAGAGCGGGAGCTCCTGACCCTGCCGGAGACCTCGGTGAGGCACTGCGCTGGGTCACGCCCACATTTCTTAGGTCTCCTGGGCCAGGGGACTGCAGGCAGAGGGCGCCCTGCGGGGGGGGGGGGGGGGGGGGCAGTGAGGGGTAGGCTCCGTGAGCTCATGTTTGCAGCTCATCAGGGTCTGTTAGTGAAAAGGGGAAAAAAGCCAAGTGCAAGACATCTCATTAGGCCAGTGACTGGGGAGGAGGGATGAGAGGGTGCAGGGAACAGAGCCAGCAAAGCTGTGGCTTCTTGCAGATGTTGCCACCCGCTGCTCCTTGCCTCCTAACTGGGCCCTGGTGGAGCAGCCTCAGTGGCCCCCAGAGGTCTCTGCGAGTACCGGTCGGGCGAAGCCATGGTTTCAGCACTTGCTGGGCAACATGAGGGCCCATGCTTCCTGCTGACAGTAGCAGGGAGAACATGGGCCGCTGCAACCCACCAGGCTCGCCAGCCCCAGTGCATATTGGCTGCCTTCCTTCTCCGAGCCTCCCTGGGCCTGGGCACTGGTCCTTACACCAAAGATGCCAACACAGCCAAGTCCAGTGCGCGCCCTCCCTTCCCGCCACCTCCCACTGCAGGCGCTCAGGAGGGAAAGGATGCCCAGGTGGGTGGCGGGAGGAGCGGGTGGGAGGACCTCCTCACCCACCAACTGGATAAGCAGCCCATAAAAGGCCGGTGGCTGTGGGCCTGGGCTTGGCCTGGACCTTGTGTCTGCTGCTCTTCCCTACCTCACCCAGCAGCTGGCAACAGCACCCCCAAGAGAGCGAGCCGCTCTCAGAGCCTGGGCCAGTCCGTATGCCTCTGGTGCACAAGTGCCTGAACCAGCGTGCTCTGGGAATCCGAACTGCCACGTCGGAGGTTATGTTTAAAATGTATGCATTGGAAGAGTCGTTTTTACCTGTAGAGCTTGTCTAAGAAGCAGCGAAAATAAATATCTACCCTTTGAATCTCGGGCTTTTATTTCTGTCCTGTCGCTCACTCATTCGTTCCTTCATCGAGTGCAGGTGAGCACAGAATGATCCAGGCTACAGCTCACCTCTGAGCAAGACCTGCAGCAACAGGCCAGTGAGGAAACCTGAAGATCCAGGTGACAAGGTGCAGGGGGAGTGAGAGGAGCACAGGCCCGCAGGGGCTGGGAAGGCTCCCCCGAGGGAGCGGTGTGTGCGGTGGTCCGAGGCTGCAGCCTGGGATGTGGGCTCGGGCAGCAGTGCTTCTAGAACTGGACTGTGCGTGAGAGTCGCTTAGGGGTCTTGCTCACACACGTTCTGGCTCGTTGGTAGGGGCGGAGGCCTGAGACTCTGTACTTTTTCTTTTTTCATTGAATTTCCTGGGGTGACACCGATTAACAAAACTGTACAGGTTACACGAGCGCAATTCCACAGCACGTCACCTGTACACCTACTGTGTGTTCACCACCCAAGCCACGTCTCCTTCCATCACCATTTACCGGCCATACCCTCGTCCAGCTCCCCCTACCCACCACCCCACACTCTTATCTGTGTCCATGAGTTTTTGTTTGTTTTAAATATATTTTATTGATTTTTTACAGAGAGGAAGGGGGAGGGATAGAGAGTTAGAAACATCCATGAGAGAGAAGCATCGATCAGCTGCCTCCTGCACACCCTCTACTGGGGATGTGCCCGCAACCCAGGTACATGCCCTTGACCGGAATCAAGCCTGGGGCCCCTCAGTCCACAGGCTGACGCTCTATCCACTGAGCCAAACCGGTTAGGGCTTTTTCCCCCCCTTTTTTCCAATCCCCCCACCCCGCCATCCAGCCCCCACCAGCTGTCAGCCTGCGCTCTGCCGAGGGGTCTGTCTCTCCTCCGCTTAATGGCTCATTTTGTTCATTAGATTCCACACAGGAGTGACATCATGTGGTGCCAGAGGCTGTGCGTTTCTAATAAGCTCCCAGGTGACAGGATGGGCTTGATCTGCAGACACTGTGTAACAGCGTTTAGATGGAGTCCTTTGTCGGCTGTGCTGTACCCAACAGCCCACAAACCAGCGCACACAGTCCTCTCTGCCCACGAGCCTTCCCAGGACCCTGGCGCCCTGGCCGGCCTGGTGAGCCCTGCGTCTGCACACTGCCCTAGGGCTGCAGCCTGTTCTCGCAAAGGAGGGAGGAAGCCGGCAGAGGCAAGGCCATGGACGCTGATGCCCCAGGTGGCCCCACCCATGGGCCTGGGTCCACCAGGAGAACAGTCACTTCGGAGACCACCCATCATGCATCAGGCTGCTCCCGAAGCAGCCAGAACTGACTTCCTGCGCAGGGAGGGAAAAGGAAACCCATGTGCAGGAGGCAGACTACTGGCTAAAACCGTTTCTTGGGAACAAGCATCAGAAAGAGGGCCTTGCCTCTGAGCCCATGGTAACCGTTCTCCGAAGAAACAACCGTGGCCGGAAAACAGCTCCGCTACAATGACTGCACCAGGAAGAACCTCGCGCTTGGGGGTTTGTGTTCTCCTCTGTGTCTTCCCACACACAGCGCTGGGAGAGTTAGTGTAAAAAGAAGTGACAAAATATTTTGATGAAAAAATCACTGTTCAGGTCGCTGACATGAGAACTAAGGAGCAACCAAAATAACCTATCAGTTAAAGAGACAAATTATCATTCAGCTATTTGACAAGCTGAATCTCTTCCACAAGCATTGAAGTGGCCCTTGGTCATGCAGAAGCGTGCTTGCCCGGCCACTGCCCTGGACTCCGCAGGAGGGAGCAGAAACGCAGTCTCACCCGCCCAGCACCAACTTCTCCTAACAAATATGTTGAAAATCCCTTTCACTAACCTTCAATGAAATTCAGAAATAATGTAACCTACCTATACATATGGTTTTTTAAAAATCACTTTAAGGTCTTCATTGAAATAAAAATTAGAAATTAATTTAGTCAAATATATACCAAAAATGAATAGTAATTATAAGTAATGTCCTTGCAATAAATGAGTTTGTTTTAAGAGAAATACAATGATGCTCAATGAAATATCATTTACCCTCTTTATAACTGACATTTTAAAATAAGGCTTAAAGGGGTGTGTGTGGCCCTAACCGGTTTGGCTCAGTGGATAGAGCATCAGCCTGTGGACTGAAGGATCCCAGGTTCGATTCCAGTCAAGGGCATGTACCTTGGTTGTGGGCACATTCCCAGTAGGGGGTGTGCAGGAGGCAGCTTATCAATGTTTCTCTCTCATCAATGTTTCTAACTCTCTATTTCTCTCTGTAAAAAATCAATAAAATATATATTAAAAAATAATAATAAAATAAAGGTGTGTGTGTGCTTGAAACTTGGAGACTGGGGAGAAGTTAAGAAGAATGAAGACAAAGAAATGTCCACTGGATTTGGAAATATGGAAAGTTTATGGTGAGAATTTCAGTGGAGTGTTGGGGGTAAAACCAAGGTTGGTAGGCGATGAGTGAGAAGTGGGGAGACGGAGACTAGTTCTACCAGCTGCTGAGCTTTGCTGTGGGGTAGCGGAGCAGATCGAGGTTGGTCGCGGGAAAGCTGGAGGGGGAGGGAGTGGGTGGGTTATTTTTCCATGGTCCGGGCATGAGCACGATTTCAGTTTCTGAAGAAGAACGAGGTGCGCAGGCTGCTTGACAGTGAGAGAGAATGAGCTCAGGAAGCGTCAGCAAGGAGCAGATCCTCTTTTCAAATTACGAGAAAAGGCCACGCACGATGAGGGGAGGGTCAAGCTTTGGTGACGTGAGTGCGGAAGTCCTCTTCCCATCCTGTCTGCAGCCTTTCTAACAAAGAGCCAATGCCACCTCTGAGAGTGACAGGGAAGGGAGGCGGTTTGGCTCTGAGGAGTGAAAAGGGAGGAAAGGTTAAAACAAATTGTTAGGAGAAAGTGAGCAGGGCACTGACCAGAGAAACATGGTGGGTTAGGCAACGACAAACAAACAAACACTTGGTTATCTTTTTTTTTTTTTTTTTTTTTTGGTCTAAGGTGAAACATGGTCATTGTGTTTCCTGGAAAGTATGCAAAGTGGAGTTTTTATTCAGTTAAATTCCGTTGGTCCCACCAATTTCTGTAGTAATTCCAGGGAGTTTGTTTGAGTTCAGTTTGATCTCTGATAGCTACTCAAAATGCTTTGGCTTCTTTTTTGTTTTCTGTGTCGGGAAATGAAGGAGCACAAATGGAACCTGTGGCACTCAACCAACTAAACAGCCCCACTGCCAACCCCCCGTAACGTGGACTATCAGCCCCTTGCGTAAGTGCTGATTGCACTTCTTGGGCCAGAAACCTGGCATATTTGTACCGAACACAGAACCTACCCTTGAACATTTAATTTTACTCAACAGTTAAAACTTTTCCCCAACTAGAATTCACTAGAGCCTTCACTTCCTGAAGAGGCTTCCTGTACAAAGCAACTCGTTCCTGGGCAAAGGACACAGTTTTTAATGCTGAATTCTCCAGAGGTAAGAGAAATCCCCAGGGCAGAAAACAAGTGGGACACACACACACACACACACACACACACACACACACTAAAGAGACAAAACCTACTCTCCCTGACTCCTGGCAGAAGCAAATTCAAGTCCTTTCTGGAGAAAAACAACATCAGATCAGATCAGTCAAATAGGAGCTCAAATCTAAAATCAACAAACCGTGGCTGAGACATTGGCAGAAACACAACCCCCAGGACATCGAAGAATAGAATTATCCAACATAGAATGATGCACCAAATATTGAAAGAGTGAAATAGAGTCATAAAAACAAGCTACAAGACACTATGAAAGTGTTGTTGGCGGTGGGAACGGCACCAGGTGTTACACCCGTGGGGTCAGACCAGACCTGGGTTCAGCAAATCAGTCCTTGAGTTCTGGCTAGGAGAGCATTCAGCGCCAAGACCCAAACTATAAGAGAACATTTACTTAGAAAATCGCAGAGGTACAAGAAGTAATTCGTAGAAGAAATGAACTGAGGAAAAAAGTGGTAGAGGCAAAGGAGCTTGGAAGTGAGGACCTTAATGGTAACCTACAGTGCCTGGGGGGGACGGGTGGAGAGGGGGGAGGGAAAGGTGCCGAGGGAGAGTACACTGGGTCCTCAGTCCTAAGGATTGTAAGGGCGGAGATTGTAGCAGAGGTTCCAGGGGAAGATCTCAATAGAAGAGTCAGCAGTTTTCCAGGTGTGTCCTTTCAGGGTATGGTCGCCACTGACTGGCGGGCACCAGGGCAGGGGTCATTAGTCAGTGCAGCTGGTCCTGAGATCGCCTGTGGCTGGTTTTTTGCTCTTCTGGGCCTAGAACTGAAATACAACTGAGGCATAGATGTTACATGAAGGGTGAAAAGGTCAGGGGGTCCAAACCACATGCCCAGGGATTTGCCAGGGGAGAAAAAGTCACGCTGGGGGCGAGGTCCCACCCTACAATTGATTGTCTGTTACTAGGCACCTGGGGCGTTCCACCCAGGTGGCCTTCTTTACCTGGCTCATCGTCCTGCTCTGCTCATGTCTGTCTATCCTGCCCACCGCAAATGCATAAATAAGTGGAACGACAAATCAAATCAATGTCTCTCTCTCTCTCCCTCTCTCTCGAATTTTAGAAAAAGAAAATTAGAGTCTTCAGAAATAAAAAATTGTTAGAAACTAACATAATTTGATGACTTTAACAGCAGATTGTAAAAAATTAGTAAATTCTAAAATGGAGCTGAAAAAAATTACCCAGAATGCAAAAAAAAAAGAGACAAATGGATAGACAATATATGACAGGTTTAAAAATCTAGAGGTTAAAATGAACGTGTCTAATTTACTAGTAACGAGTTCCGGAGAGAAAGCAGGGGAGGCAAATTTTAAGTGAAAGGCTGAGGATTTCCCAACCATAATGAAGCACTGGGATCCAAACCAGCAGGGAGTGCAGGCCGTGTCATCAGGAGGAAAGCAAATTTACAAAATAAAATCACACAAACTACGGAGCTCTTACAGTGGTGCAGGAGGAATTAATGGGCCG